ACACACACACACACACACACACACACACACACACACACACACACACACACACTTGCGGTTGCACACACACACTGACATTCATAGAGGCCTTCACACTTTTATAAATAAGACATTATATGACAATTACAATACCATGTGTCCATAGAGAGTGACAGAAAGAAAAAAAATGGAAAAGAAGGAAGGCAAGCAAGTAAATTTAATAATTCTCAATGTGTGTGTACATTTAGTAGAAATCTGAAAAAGTAAGTGTGCGTAAGAGTAAGTCAATCTAAAAACAGTACAGTAAAAAAAAGTAATGGAAAATTTCCTGTTTAATCTGGTAGCCTGTAGATTCTAGATCTAGAACTCGGACACTGTGCTGACGACAACATTGTTTAATAATTAAATTGTTAAGTTATAACTTAATGACTGCACTGCAGACTGTTTTTTTAAAGTTTTATGCGCATGATATTATGATAAATGATATGGCAGCTGACTGTACCAGGTCATGACCTATTTCAATTTTGATTGAGAATTATATTTTTAAAGTAAAATTATATTATAGACAGAGGACATTCCAAAGTGCAAGTTAGAACAAGACTTTCCATCTACTTTACATTTTAAAAGTTCATGACATTTCAACTATGAAGCCATTTTAGCTGAACAATGGTTTTTGATGTGCCTGGACATGTCTTTATTTTTATCTAAATATATGCAGGTAATCGGTAATCAGAGGATGCCTCTGGTAGATTCTACATACTGCTCTGTTGTTTCTGTCTTATTATCCCTTTTTCCCCAGCTCTAAATGTGAAAAGTATCATGTCGACATGGCTACTAAAAACTCAAACAAAGTCAAATGCTGTTGAAAAATTGTAGATAAAATAATTATTACTTACTTTTTAAAGGTAGATAGGCCTACTCAAGTCTGACATTCTGCTCTTTATGTAATTTATTTTCGCTGAAAGATTTATACCCAAAGCAATATAATGTAATTATTGTGGTAGTGCTGCTGGTGCACTTGTGACCTTTGTACCACCATTCATCATTTATTATAATAGCAGGAGGGGGACTAACTAGTACTAGTACCACTGTGCTTTTGGTTGTCTCCAGAGTCATTAAGTGAAGTCCTGTTGGAATGAACTTGGCAAAGGTCAGGCTGTGGTTCATTATATTACATGATACTCTGAGCTGTCAGTGACAGCAGACTTGGTGGTCTTGTGGTTGATGCCTTGTGTGCCTTGTTGTTTGCTGTACCATTTTGGGTGGAATTTTCTGGCAGTTTGTCGGTTAGTACTGTCTGGACCTGGGTCCATACTAAGTCAATTTTGTGGGTGGTTGGCGGGTGCTCTGGTGTGGTTTGCTTCTTTCTCTCTAACATTTATCGTCCTTATCTTTCCTCCTTTTTTGTGTTTGTTACTCTCTACACCGCTAATCTTCGGCACTTTGACCTTGTTACAAGTGCTGTAAAACATTTAAGGCCTACTAAAGCATATTATAGAGTCAATTTTAATGTTGAAGACCAGCGTCTGTGGTAGAGGTGGTACTTCACCGTGGCACATTGACTGAGGACCCAATAGTCCGATTCCTATGTGGGGAGAATTTTAATCATTAAAAAAGTAGTTGGGTCTGCTAGGATGTAATCATTCTCAGCCCAGGTTGTCCTGACAGGCAGGGTGGATGCCCACCTCCTAAATGATATTATAAAACACCTGTACATGAATTCATTGAGGCACATTTTTTTCCTACATTTATAAATTTATAGTTTTCTCTGTAAAGAAACATGATGCTCTACTGTGCTGTGGGGGATCTCAGAGAAATAAACTGAACGTACACAATGTGATTAAAACTTGAACCCTTGCATCTGTCACTAAAAAGCTTGTCTTGTTGTTGAACTTGAATGGTCGTAAATAAGTTGGTTTTTAAGTTTATGTACTAGGCGGCATCCTTTTATTTGTAATAAATATTTTATAGATTCAACTGTATCATGTTTAAAAAAAAAAAATCCACTTATAGTTGTACGGATCACGGTAACTATAATATCAGACAGACTGTTTTGTAAGAGAAAAGTGGTGACTGTCTTGGATTTATATTGCTTGAGTGGAATGAAGTAAGTGGGTCAGCTGTGTTGTCAGTACTTTTACACACACCTTTCTTATCAGATAGGAGAAGCCACAGGAGGTAGTGAATAATTAATGTGTAGAAAGAGAAACATGAAGCATAAATTATTGTCTGCAGCTTCAAAGCTTGAAGAATCATATCTTGCATGCATTTTGACCTAATTTTATTGACTTTTGTCTGTTTAAAAGTACTTTTTATTCGGACTGTCCTGTGGAAGACTTGCCTGTTTCATGCTCAAATTTGTTCACTATACTAAATATGTGTGCTTGTTGTGTGTTTATCCATGATCTGCATTTTTCTTTTTTTTGTAGCAATGGATTAAGTTGTATTTTTGCTAAAAGTGTATCATTGGTATATATTTGAGTATCTTCCTCATAATCCCTGTTTTACCTGATTGTTATTTCATACCAGTGTGGTGCCAGTTTGTTATAATCTGTCATTTTTATGGGTCTCTTTCCTTGTCTTTGCTCTCACTTGCAGACAGTCTCTTTCTGCTCTATGTAAATCTTGGAAAAGTAGAGTTTTTGACAGTCGGAATTTGAGAACTTGAATTCATCGGCAATATTTTTTTTTTTTCTTTACAGGGGATTTGGTAAGCAGGGATTTCAGTGTCAAGGTAAGTTTTAGAATGTTTAGGAACTTAACTCCTATCTTATATTTGTTCCTGTCTGTCTGTCTGTCTGTCTGTCTGTCTGTCTGTCTGTCTGTCTGTCTGTCTGTCTGTCTGTCTGTCTGTCTGTCTGT